ATTTAACTACCTGTCTTTTATCCATTCATGATTCAAGCTTTATTGATCATTTTTAAATCTATTAATACTAAATACCAACTTTACTTACTATTCAGCTTTCATCCATAAAGTAAAAATACTTTATCAGACAGAAGCACTATGGACAGCGCTGTTTTTAATATTTTTACACAATAAGTTACGGTACACAAGTTGACTTAGGCACTTTGTTCAACCACTTCATTTTATTTTAAAATAAGGCTTTATAGTTCTTTGGCATTTTATCAATTCCAAATAAATTAGTGAATAGTTTTACTAAAGATTTTATCTTTAATTCCATTGTACTTGCAGGATGGTCAAATAAAAAATCGAAAAGATTTTGAAGCTACTATTACTAAAGTAAAGATATTGTACAAATGGAAATTGACTCAGAATGGGAACGCTTTTTGTAAGAAACTTAAGTTATGGTTACCATTTTACTAACAACGATACTTTCACAAAAGTATTAGTAGCAAAAAAAATAGATCATAATAAAAAAATAATTATTAAAATAACCTCAAGGGTAAGATGATCTAAAAGAATATATTTTATGGAGTTAACGAAGCCAAAAGGTTTAAAGATTGTGGGTTCACAAGAGAAAAGCAAGTTAAACATATTGATGTCGAGTTTAAAAAATTGGCTCCTAATTATTAAGGCAAAAGTAAATTTAATTCCTTTACGGTAAAAATTATAAAAAGATAGCATTTTTACTTTTAAAAAGTACTAGCTGCATGCCTGAGAAATATATAAGTTGCGGAAATTTGTATTATTATATTTAATTAATTTTATAAGTGACGCCAGAAATCCATGATATAATTGATTAAAGATCAACTTAAAGTGTTTATTTATGTTTTTTAAGTCGATTATGGAGGAAATTTCCTGTCTTATGACGCCCACCAAACAATTTGGATGAAAATACATTAAAAAATATAGAGTATAGTAAATTTTATTATAAACTTAAGTCTTTACGCAGATTTATTTTAGGACGCTTATTAATCAAGCATTTCAGAACATAAACGCATCTAAAATAGACAACTAATTACTCAAATGCTATCAAAATCAATGAATATTACTACCTCTTGGAGCCCTCATTAATATAAAATGAAGCAAATTATTCATCTTTTTATATTTGGTTATACTAAAGACCAAAAACATTATTTATTTATTTATCATCATTACTTTTACTCCCTGATCTGGAAGAGCCTAGAAAAGCTTTCTTGCAAGAAGGTCTGAAGGAGTAAATGCGATAAAACATTTAATTCAAAATAATTTTTGATTTTTGGCGTTTAAATTCAAGGATGTACTATGGTAGCAGTGGTTTATACGAGAGTTGGAATCTTGCAAATATATTTTTGTCTATATATCATACTTCATGTATGATCCATTTGCCGCATAAATACTAGCGTATCTAGAATTCGGTTGACAAAAGCAATCTCTCCGTCATACCTAAAATTATGTAAAATAAGAAATAAGTGAAACATGTGGCATTTATGAAACATGAATAAAGGAATAAAAAGAAGATCATTAACTACCTTACTTTTAAAATTGCATAGAATGCGAATAATATTAGTTAGCTGGCCTACAAATAGGTCAGTCCTGCTGACTACAGTTATAATAAGATGAGGCCTATAATCAATTTCACTTGATTTAGTTGCCAAAGTAAAAGCTTAAAATAAAGAGAAATAGGTAAAAATAACATCATACGGGCAAGTGAATCATTTACTTTATGCATAAGTTAAGATAAAAGAAAGTTCTTTGATGGCTTTCAGCAATATTATCAAGCAAGATATATCAGCAAAGTGATCAAAAATGCCTATCTCTAATCGCGTTTGAATCCATAAATGGTTAAAATTCTCTGATGGGTAGATATATTTCGGAAATAATTAAAATGAATAGATCAGTCGGCATTTCTTTGATGGCAAGAGGAAAGCAGAGGTCAGCTAATTATTGCTATTTAGCGATTCTAAAACTATGAATCACATATAATGTGACACTAATTCATATTTTAAATGCTTATATCTATTCGAAATGAGGCATAAGTCTTGCCATAATAAAAAATAGACTTGTGGAATTTTAGAGTGAGATCATTATATTCATGGATGGAAGGCAGGTGAAGTATTATATACACACTTTCTAAACAAAATTTATAACTTATTTAAATTTAGAAATATAACAAGCAAAGCTTCTCCTCCATGTTAAGGCTAGCCTTGTGAGTGCTAATAAAAAAATCAACGAAAAATGTTTGCGTATGTCAAATCATATATCGATATTTATCAAAAATATTACCTACATATATTTACCAAAAGGCAGTTTATCTGTAATATTTAAAATTTCGTAAGACGTTAACATATTAATGAAAAGGTTAAAATCAGAAAATCTTTGCCATATTGCAGATTGTTGAATGATTTATAAAATTGTTTCACAAAGTAAATTAATATTAGCAATAATATAAGGCTATAAAGCCGAATGAGTTTGACATGATTTTTTTTTTGGAATAGCTTAATGGTACTAAATACCGCCTAAATTTGAGTTCATTAGTTTCAGATGAATAAGTTTACGTATTAACGAATTTTTTTATCAGAAACTGTTTTTTATTTTAACTACATAAAAAATATAGCTATAATACTTCAGCAAAACCTTTTCCAATTCTATTAATTACTTGTTTCTTAATAAGATGAGCTATTTTCTGTTTTCTGCACCTTTTCTCATTATTTGTGTATTTTTAATTGAGTTTAGATGATGCAAGTCAGCAATGTAGTATTAATTTTGTCCGAAACATTTGTACCCTCCTTTATTTAGAGATTCGCAAACTAGGTTTAATCTTGAAATAAGATTCTAAGCTTGATTATAAGATAATGCTGATATTGTAGAACATTCGCCACCCGATTTGATAAAATAAATGTATACGTTAGAAGGAAGATAAATTACTATCGCTAGACGTCCAGTTATGTTTAATAGTATAACTTACGCTAAATTAATTTTACTTTGCGAAACCAGAAGATCGCTTAAAATCACGTTTTCCCTGTAACAAATTGATGCTTATGGCAATGAAGTTTAGTAGTAACATGTCGGAAATACATGCAGATATAAGAAGAATATAATTGATTGATTCTTAAGTAAAAAATATTTGACAATTTATTTGCATAAAACGGAGATAAAAACACTTTTAATGCGTAGATTTACCTATTTCTTTTCAGTATAACATATACAGGCAGACATATTGAAAATTATTTTATACTCACCAGACAATTAATTTCAAAAAGTTTGATTTCGGAAGAAGTGTACTGGACTCTAAATCAACTTGGCAAAAGGGTTCATTTCCAGCTATGTCACTAGAGACTAACGGTTGATCAAAACGTATACAATCAACAAAATAACGTCTGTTTTGCCTGATTATATCCAGTTTCTAGATTAATAAACAATGAAATAACATAAACATGAGGTTACTTTTATCATATTATTATATTTGTTGAGATATAAAGTTTATAGGGTTAGTGTGACCTTGTCTTCGCAACATTTTCGAACCGACGAAAACAAGATCAAACCAACATAATTCATCTAAAGAAGACTGCAAACCAATAAAAGATTAAACTCTCTTGGTAGTCAACTTTATAATGCTTTAGATATTATCCAATCTTGCCAGTATAAGATATTTACTTCAAAGTAAATATCTCATTATAAAATACCTTCTTTTGATCAATAGAGTTTTTATTTTGTTTAATACAAATGGATTGGTAGCAAACTTCATATCACCTTATGCTTTTTAAAATAGATATTTTGATTAATAATATGCTCCTTGTAGAGCCTTTTATTTACCTCATCATTATTTCTATCAGGATTTTAATTCGACACAAGCATAAAAGAATGATGCTGTTAGCACAGGTCTAAATGGCAATTAAACCATTCGAGTATAAGGAATATTATCTAGAAGTATTAAAGTTTGCAAGTTAAAACCTCTAACTTCTATATATTTTGGGACAATATATATCATATACAAATAGTTCTAAGTCTTATCAATGTCTAGTATGAGAGGTTATTACAAATTCGTTAAGCCCAAATTACTGATCCCACGTAGTAGCGTTACATAAAAATTACGCCCAACGCAGATTTTTCGTTTATAAATATAAATTCATATAACTAAGGAAAATATTTCGTAAGCAGACAGTGCAAGAGAGAAATAAAATCGACTAAATATCCTTTTATAGAAAATTTTCATACTCATTATTTGTATGGTCCAATTTTTTATTTAAAGTGCCTCAGATAAATATTTTCCAAATACTACTTATCTACTTAATTCGCTAACTCATGATTATGTTGTGTAGAGTTACATTTATCCAGATTAACATTGTTTTATCTTTTTGTGCTCTAAATCGCTCATGCTAATTATAACAGTCAAACTTGAAAATTTTCAAAGACCAAGGTGTTGTAGCCTCTGGTATGGTCACAGTCTCCTTTCGATTTATAGAAGTGGGTTAATCTCGTTTTGAAACTTTGTCTGGTTGTCAGGGCGACTTAGTAGAACACAGTTAGTCCGAAGTCCTCTGCTACCACTAACTTCTACTAAGTCTCCCTGACAACAAGACCAAGTTGCGACAACGAGGTCAACCCAATATAAATATTGTTTACATTTGCAGATTAATTGATAAAGCAAACTTTCATTGTGGCACTATCTTTGGAACCAATTTATTGGGAAGTGTGCCTGGCATTTATTCCTTAAATAAAATTACTGTACTAGACAACAATTTTACTTTTGATAATAATGTAGCTAATTTAAGGTACACTTCATGAAAAAAAGTTTAATCAGATTCACTGGGGGATTCGGGCTAGCCTTATAACCCTGACACAATATTTCTATCTGACCAGTAAAACTAGAAAAATTGGCTAAACTCTCACCTTATTGCATATTTACATATTTTCTAACCTCGTATTAGATACTTTAGACCACGAGCAATATGCTCAAGGTCTACAAAGATTCCTTGAACTTATTACAAAACCTTTTCAGCCCATGGCCTGAAACTTACCTGCTGAAAAACATCTCCTTGATTCACTTCCAAGGTTGATACAGAATAGGAATTGAGCGATAAAGGGCAGCGTATAGATGGCATGCGTTGACGATTAAAAACATTCGTTAGGGCCGGGCTCATTGTAGAAAGATCTGAAGATGGTACTGTGCTATCCATGACACCGAGAGAATCATAGTCGGGTCTGGTTGAACAAGATACGGTTGTAGCATTGGCAGTACTGTGCATAATGCCAAAATCCTTCCCTAATTGCACTTGACTGTCGGCCTTTGCTACAGAATTGGTAGAAATGTGCAATTTAAAAAAGTAATAGAGCAGCAACGCTTTTTGTAATATATTTTAAATATTATGTTTTAATCTAGCTATAATATGCATGGTTTTCGCTTAACCCCTCCTAAATATTTCATTTATTTCAATATTCTAGTTTAAATCGCGATTGCACTAAATATGAATTTATAAAATAATATGAAACCAATTCATGCTATTACTAACTAAGAAAGATTGATCAGACGAATCCGATATTACTCTCAAATTAATAATTCTGTTTACAGCAAGAAAAGGTGTATTCCTGTATCCATTTTGCGCACAAAGGTACCTACGTCTGTTATAATCTAACTATTTTTACAATTGAACCAAATCATAAATTGATTTTAAATTGTATAACTTCTAAATCTTATTACAGCACATTATTTGACTATGCAAATCTAAGCTAAATGACATTAATAATCAACTAAAATTTTATTTTCCTGCAGGGAAGCAGACTGAGACAAATTTTTATTACTGTAATAAATAATTTTTTATAGATCATAATCCAACATCTATTATGTGGTGATATATGCTTATACATGTTTTATG